CTTCTGTTTTTTTCGAATCGCGTCAACCGACAGCGTCGAAAAATTATAGTTGGTATAACGGCAGGCGGAGGAAATGACGCGAATTGCGGGATATCCGTTGCTGGGAACGAACGAACGAACGAACGAATGGAACTCCCCATTGTTTCGTGCTGTGCCCTCACGACTTTCAAGGAGGGAAACAAAGTTTTTTTTTTTTCCCCCGGGTGTGGTTGGCTTTTTCATTTTTTTTTAAACTTTTTGGTCTGACCTTCATTTTAAAATAGAGTATGTTAAATGTTGTATTTTCTACCTTTGTCGCACGAGATGCCCGTGGAAAGATTTTTTTTTTTTGGGCCGTACGACGTGTTTTCGTAGTGTCTCCTTGGGGAAACAGAACCTGAACGAAAAAGGCCCTTCGTTTAAAATGTGTGAATTGTTCTGATTTTTTTTAGGAGTTGTTTACTGCTGACAACACGTGTTGGTTTGGGACTGGGTGCCCAATCTTTTCATGCTTGACCTCTTCGAGCGTATTTTAGTTTGGATTGATCATTTATTATTTTTTTTTGAAACTGGCAAGACCGAATTGTTCCGGTTTTCTTACATACGTATAAGAAAACGAGCCGTTCATTATTTAACATCTTCGAGAGTTTTTTTTTTAATTTCAAATAATTAAGCAGAACAAAATGTGTATTGGAAAACTGGTTAGGTTTTCAGAAAATTTCAATTCGGAATTCTCTTCTCTCATCCCTTCAACGTGTCTTCACTTCAGGTGCCAGAACCCTTGCAAAAGTTCTTGAATTACGGTACTATAAATTCATGTTCGAAGAAAAAAAAAAAAATGACAGTAGTGCAAGATTCGACGTAAAAGCTGTCTACTACTAAGTTACAGACCGTCTATCAAAGCTAAGTCTTAAATATAAAGAAATGTTTTGAGAACTCCGTCTAACGAGTTCAGTGCTGAGCAAATTATTTCGCTACAAACAATTTTTTTAAAATTGTGAATGTTACGAGTTGGAGGCCTTTTTTTTTATTGTCACTTCGACTGAAACACATCTTCCGAATCTCATAATTGAACTTTGAATACCTTTTTAGGAATGATGAGAATTCTTTTGTGCTTTTTCGCCTTTCTGAAGTTTTTATACAGTTGGTCATTAAATTTTTTAAAACTTTGTATTAAAGGGAAGTCTAATGAATAGTTTTCGGTTTTGTTTTGTTTTTGAATTGTGTTCAAGTAGATTCAGGAAGTGAAGTGGGGGTGCCGCCGCGATGCGAGGGATCGTCAGTGCCGTCGACGTCGGTGTCGAATCCCGTTAAGGATGTCGATGGGTCGACACAGAAACCGTCGTTGGTCGCCCCGACCCCTTCTGTGGCTGACCAAGTAGCTGCCCTCAACAACTCCTTACATCAGGTCAGTTTCTCTTTTTTTCCTTCAAATTCAATAACATATTTTACAATCAAAAAAATCAATTATGATGCTGTTTTGATTTCGCCTAAACGCATGTTTGCAAGTTATTAATAGATTGACTAATTAGCATAATACATCAGTTGATTGATGCCTCGCCGGATGAATTTCCTTTTTTAATTAACGTGTTTTTATTTTTAAAGTTGTGACCATTTAAGGAAAAATGTTACAGTATTTTTATTATAATGCTGCTATGTTGTAATCGGCATGTTTTTTTGTTGAAGTGGCAATCTAATCAAACTGCAGTATTTCAAGTTTGAAGAGGTCGGTTGTGCTAAAAATTGAATGACTCCGTGCGACGCGGAACCTTTCATATTGAATTGATGCGTATGCGTGTATTTATTAACAGGGGCTTCTAACACTAGTTTGTTGTACGCGTTTTAAAAATGGACCAGCTTCTTAGACATGTTGTGTCGTTGTTGTTGTTTTGTGTGTGTGTATTTTCCATTATACTGGGAATGCTTACCCTGGCAACATTTCGTTTTTTTTTGGGGGGATCTTCTGGGGATGAAAAAAAAAAAAAGATCCACGATTGGTTGATGCTTTCGATTCTGCAAGCATTTGGGTCTCCTCCGTTGATGTGCCGACCTGCCCTCGACAGTGGGCTTGATGTGAGTGTTCGAGAAACGGGTTGATGGGTTATTGTTGTTGTTGTTGTACGTGTTGCTGTCTGGAAGTTGTGGCACTTCTTCGGGTTTCCTGTACCGGAATTTTCTCGGGGAACTTTGGAGTGTGGATTCATCGTTTTGATTATTTTGTTGCTTCTGCTTTCGTCTGTCGTTGACGCTTTGGGGAGGGATTATTTTGCTGAATTTCTCAAGTGCAGTCGAATTTCTGTTGAAAGAATTTTTTAATGGATTATCAGAAAATAATTGAATGTTGGGGGAAGAGAGAATTGCAGGGTATTGTAATTGGTGATATTCTGGGCCTTAAATTGCTTCTTGAACGAATTGCCCAATTAGTCTTTCACCTACTTCCAAAACACTTGAAGTTACATTTGTATTGCTTTTCTCTTTCCTGAATTAAAAAAATGCCAAAAGGCTTTAAGAAAAGTCGAGTGAAAGAGGTTTTGAATGCGTCCTTTCTAAATGAATTCAGCCAGGGATTAAAAAAAAAAACGTTGACGTAGGGAGGTGTCAGTCATCTAGGTTTAAATTTATACTTTTTCCCACTTTCGACTTTGTTTTTGCAATGGTTTGAACTCGAAGCACTCAAGATTGCACCAAATTCGTCGTATTTTTCAGCAGGCTTGTAATCTGATTTGGTTCTGACGTTCAAAATTTCGTTCTCTGGATTTTTTGATGTAGAAGTAATTCCTAAACTTGATTTAAGGCTGTCTATGATGTTCAAAAGATCACTGTACAGAAAAGTAAAAATTTTCGAATTCTTATGACGCATTTTCTAGTACAGATTTCTTATTTGTCAGTAGTTGTATTCTGGTTTTGATTTAGAGGTTAAATTCACGCTTCTGATTCGTGCGTCACTTTTGAGAGACACATTTATTGGCTCTTTCACCTTTCGTTAGATAAAATTCATGATTGTTCAAGACACTGTTAGAACCGCATTTGAAGATATTTAGTTCGATTGCAATTTGCATATTCTAAAGGTCAGTCGATACAGTACAGTACTAACTGCATAATTTGCAATGCGTAAGTTTTTCGTCGGTTGGAATTTGTGATGGAAGCCTAGTAAGTTTAGGTCATGAGTCGTTTCTAAGGTGCACAAAAGAAACTGCAGAGTGCTACTTTTGTATTCCGAACTCGTTCCTGTTAGTAGTAAAGGAGAGCTTCTGGATTCCGGATGAGGAAGTTCGTCTCAGACGCGAGCAGGTTTCTTGAAAAGAAAAAAATCCTCGAGATTTCTAAAAAAAATATAAAGAAAGAAAAAAATCTAAGAGTAAAATGCGAATGTGTGAGAACCCAAGGAAAAACTATGCACTGAAAAAAAAAAAAGCTGTCGTCTACAGACGTGTGAGAAGAACTTTTCATCTCCATTCCCTCAGGGGGTTTTCCTTCCTTCTTTTCTCGGGGAAAGAAAAGCAGAAGTTCTCACCTATTTAGTTTCGGTGGAATGATGCAGTTTTCGAGGAGGGTGTTTCCAGGTTTATTCATGCACAAGATGCATGGAATATTTCGCCGATTTTGCATGAACTCTTGCATCTGTTTTTTGTTGTTGTTGCTTAGATTCATCCGAATGGAAAAGGAAAATTTTTTTCTTTTTGAGTTCGGAATACAGGTCTACTGGTTGGTTCGAAAGTTTTCTAGTGCCACCAAATGTTCCAGATGGTTGAACGGTGTTTCGTTTTTAGTTGAAATAGTTTTCATCTTGAAAATTTTATCCTTTTGATGCTGATTGCAGATGACATTGAACTAGAATGATACATTTTGGTAAAATCACGAATAATCTTGAGGTTTGTCATTGAGTAAGATGGACATTTCTGATTGGAAAACTAGATTTCAAGACTTTCGTGCAACTTTTGAACCACCCATTACGTAGTAATTAATTTTGAAAAATTGTGTCTTCCCTGCAAAATTCGACACTTGTATCCGGACGGACGTTCTTTTGATGTTTCACGTCATTCTAAATTCCCCAAGTGTGCAAATTGTGCGTACTTCAGTTAGTTGTCAAACATCACTGCTTTCAATCTGAACGTATGTTTCGATTTCTCTTCCACATGCTGGCGTGCAATTTTCTTCCATTCTCTGTCGCAGTAATGTTCCGAGGTGGAGTTTCTTCCGCCTTGCGGAAACCGGAAGGTGTTTGCCTGCACGTTTTGTTGTTTGAAAAAAAGAAAAAGAAAAGAGAAAAAAGCAAAGACCAACTTTAGAGTACGGTATTTATCCATGATTCGGTTCCCCGTGTGTTTCCTTCCGTATGAAGATCAAAGACTGGCTGGAAGTGGTGGACAAGATGCTGCGTCAACAGCCCGTGACCGTGGGGAACGTGGATGAGATCGCCATCCAGGCGGAAAAGCAAGAGGTGAGTCTTCTTCCTTCCTTTCTTCCTTCCGGTTGCTTTTGTTCTTCCCATTGTTCTTTTCCTTTGCGGATCGATGGAAAGATTCCGAATGCAATACCTGTACTGTATATTCATTCCCAGATGGGAGTCATTGGGTGGTGGGTCCATGAAACAGCGAAAAGACTGAACCATCCACCAGTTGGGGTGGGTGGGATTCTCTATCTTATCAGAAAAAGTCATTGTTGAGAGGATTTCGTTGTCTGGAACCTCTGTAGAATTATAGAGACAAAAGGAAACATTCTTTATACAAAGAAAATCGTTGTAGAGAGAAAGAGGGTCCACCTGTGTAATTTTACCGGATTCATTCGAGAAAAATTCGTTGTACCGTGAAATTTTCGTTGTAGATTATTATATTATCGGGAGATAATCGGATGGGAAAACGAATAAAACCGTTGTACGAAAAAAAAAATCGTTGTGAGAGAGAGAGAGAGGGATTCTATGTGTATAATTTTACCGGATTAATTCGAATACATACTCTTTCTACGACGGAATTCAAGGGATCAGAAAATAATTCGTTGTACCGAACCCTTATAACATGGGTCGAGAACCCTGAGAGAACCCAAAACAAAAATCGTTGTACAGGGAAAATCGTTGAAGAGAAATTCTTTTGTGTGGAGAGAATCCACCTGTATTACGAAGTTTTTCAATCAAGGACTCTGGAGAAAAATCTCCTGACGGGGCTTCTTTCTGATTCTAATGTTGATTTATTTTGTTTTTACATTGAACGAAATTGAATTGAATCAGAAGCCTGATTATAATTGAATGTATACAATTGAAAATTTTGAAGTTGAGTAGTGTACTTGAAGAGAGTTCATAACCATCATAGGGTATTGGGTACTATGTACAGTACTAAATATTTGATAGAATCATGGGAATATTCTTTTTGAACTTTATGCGTACAAAACTGAATTATTCCGATGAAGTGCAGTACGCAAAGAGCCAAGTAATGTACTGTACTGGAAATTTTCTGTCCTACTGTATCTGTCAATTGGCAGATGGAGTTCCTGAAATTGAAATGATAATTTTTTTTGTGCTGGAAATCGATGTTGTTGTTCTCATTATTGAGCAAGTGGTGAGTCTTTTTCGGCGATCGCGAGGAAACCGAGGCGTTTCCGGCGTCCAGTGCCAAGTGTCGCGTGCCGGGTCAGGTCGTCGGGTTGGGTTGGGTCGGGTCGAGTCGAGTCGAGCCGCCCCACGAGAAAGTCTCCATATTTATTGTGTCGCTGCGGGGGAAATGAATGGACGCATTGATTCCGGGCGGGCGGTCGGTTGGTTGGCGTCCCTCGAGGGCCTGGCCTGGCCCACAGGGCCCTCCTTGGAACCCTGGCCTCCGAACTGAGCGCCAGGGAGAACTGACCTCTTTAACGAATCATTTGCTCATTTCAGGGATTTATTAAATGAAGTATATACAAGTGTACTTTTGGTTTAATTGAATATGTACAGCTTTTTTTTTCAAGTAGAAAAAATATGGTGAAGATTTTAAATTTTTTCCAGCTCTGTCTCTTCCCTCGAGTTCTTTGGCAGCAAAACGCAGAAATTTTCGATAACATGTTTTGCTTGTTGCGGAGATTCGTTCCTTATAAAAAGAAGTCTCTACAGCAACGACATGACCAGAGAAAAATTTGTCGTAGAGAGAATTTGTTGCAGAAAACTTCTGTAAAATGGGGAGGAAAGAACTCTTCGGTATTAAAAAATCGTTATACCTTTAATTTATGAAGAACATTTTTGGCGGCAAGATCGTCATAGAGGGAGTCCACGTCTATGTGCAAATTATGCTGGAAATCTTGTGCTACTTGTCGTTCCGGGAGATGTTTAAAAAGCGTATTTTCTTTCAAAATTTAGCAGCCCAACGCGGAAAGACTATGTCTCTTTTACAGAATTCAGTGAATTGCAAAAGTGCGCTCTTTATGCATCCCTGAGTTTCACGATGTTATTTTTATTTGTAGCAGCAACAGGAAATAGGTGTGAAATTTAATAATTTTGAACGTCATTAGGGATTCACACATGATTCCGCTATAACATTTTAGGACGGATGGGAAGTGCATGAGGAATTGATGAAATACAGTCAACCCCTGTACAACAGACATCCCGCACAACATACTGTCTCTGGAGGCAGTTTTCCCTCCTGCGCAACGGACTCTGTTGGTTTAAAATGATTGGTGAAAAGTGTAAATTTTTAATAATTTAATTTGCTTTACAGACTTTTCACCCAACAGACTGGCCTGTTGAACAAAGTAAGTCTGTTGTGCGGGGTTTGTCTGTAATTGTTTTCACCTTTTCTATTTTTCCGTTGATAATTTATGTCGCGAATCTAGTTGAGCAATTGCGCTGGCGGTCAATTGGTCCCCGGCGCTCAGTTGTGCTTGGCGCTCGCTTGACCCAGCGCCGTCCCTCCCGGTAGAAACTGGTCTGAGTAAAGGGTCGGTTTTCTTTCATCGAACGCCTATCGAGCGACGACTCTCTAAATGACGCTGGCGGCCATCTGCGCGTCTTCGAGGCCATTTTTTCGTGTGTGTGTATGTGTATGTATGTATGTATGTACTGTATGTTCGAAGATGCCGCCAAACGGGGTACCGACACTTTCTCTTCCTTTGGCTGTCCCCCTTATGTTCGATGCGATTTCATCTTCTGATTATCGCATGCTTATCCTGATTCGTTGTTTTCTCGAAAGTGATTGTTCTGGAAAAGAAATGCAGTCTCACTGGGTATTGTAGAATATGTGGGTCGCTAAAGTTTATGTCGCGGTCGTGGTTAGAAAATCATCAGATGGTTCTTTACTCAAATGGTAAAAATGACGGCGTTTAACGACCGACAAAAATATGAACCGACATTTGGTACTTTCACCGAGTCCTGTTCTGCTGAATTACCTATATTTCGACTCATTGGCCGGAGTTTTGCTCTTTTATTTTACGACTTTCAACACGCAGTGACTATTTTCAAGTACAATATATTTAGATATAAATTATATTTTATTGAACGAAATTGAGTAGAAAATTTGGAACAAACCAGAAAATCTTTTTCAATTTTCCTTTATCCCTTATGTGTTTAGAAGTAAAACACATTTTTCGACTCGGAAAAAAATGAAGGAAAATTGACCCTCCGAGGAGCCATTTGCATGTTATGCGAAATTTATGATAAATTCGCGATCTTGGGAGAAACTTCTGCGTTTCTGTTGAAAATTTCTCATTTATTACATGCTCATTCGATTCGGTATTTCTAAGATTAAAAATAAATTCCATTCCTTTCTAAAGAAAAAAATTGAATATTTGAGAATGAACAGGTTTCATTCTCATTCCTTCGCCATTTTAGAACGCGGTTTAGTTATGTAACGTTTTTTTTTGGCGCTAGATGGTGATGAAATAAACGGGCTTTTTAACCCGTGTCTCGGGTGACCGGAAGTGAAAATAATGAGATTCTAGCCCCGGAACTTCCTCTCAAATCAGCGCGGAAAAACTTGCTGTCGTTGTGGTTAATCAAGTGTAAAGTCCCGGAAGGCCGGACTTTTAATTGCCGCCGTCAGGACTTGCGTGACACGGGATAAGGAAATGACTGACGAGAGGGATTTTCTCTGGAAAGAAATGAGGGAGAAAGTTGGCATGTGCAGAAAACTCGCCTTTTCTTTGCTGGTCGAAGAAGGAAATTAGATTTTCAGTTGAGAACTTCGGATGCTGCATTGACGCAATGGTGATGAGGAGAGGCTGAAATCAAATTTGCTCCTGTCAGGAGGGATTCTATGGATCATTCACATCAAGGGATCTTTTTTTCTTCTTCTTCTTTTGTATGATTCGCGATTTTGGCGTTTTTGCGATATTCATTGATGCAAATCGAAGAGGTATTTGTGGCGTACGCATTTAGCATCACGGGGGTTTTCTGAAAGTTCTTGGGAAGCAGCTGCAAATTTTCTGCAACGTACAAGTATATAGTTGATCAAAAAATTAAAAGTAATTCTTCTTCGTCAAGGAAACACATTTTCAAGTGTATAGTGTGAGTTGGGAGAATTCCATGCAGAAAAATCCGTTGTCGATCATCAATCATTAAATTCTTCCAAAAAGTTCTGAATTCACTACGTGGAAAATTCTTGCATCATGAAGTTGTCTTTCAGTTGATTGAAAGGACCATAGATTCTCAGTTGCTTTTTTTGTGTGGATTTTTCCAAAGGATTGCATCTGGAACTGGAAACTCATGAAATCGTAAATTACTGTAAAAAAGTAGTTTTTAAAGAAAATTCAGAATCCTTGGATCAGTTTTACTGACTCCTTGAGAATGATGCGAAAATCAACCGAAGGGTTATCCCCGGAAAATGAATGCATTTGATTTTCTTCCTTATCTCCCCATGAGTTGAAATTAGTTATTCGTGCATTAATTTCTCATTTGTTGTTCACCTTCATGTGTATTTAATTGGAACATATTTTTTTCAAACCAAGAAAAACAGATGAAAATTGACCCCACGAGAACCATTTGCATGCTATGCGAAATTTTTAGGTGAATTCCCGAGACTTATGAGAAACTCTCGGCGTTTCTGTTGAGAAATTTACATGTAATGCGTACCCATTCGATTTGGCGTTTTTGACGACTGTGAGATGGGCGAATTTCGTTGAAAGCCATTCAATTTCCCCGTTCGGTGTCGGGCTTTATTTTCTTTTTAAAGTCAATACAATTTATATTTAACTGAGAGATTTAAAAAAATAATGAAATACAGTTGGAGGTGTCAGTGTTTGTCAGATGCAATTTCATGGCAGATTGGATCCAGCATCCACGAAATTGCTCTTTCGCGTGCGTTGGAATTTTTTTTTTATTTGGAAGTGAAATGATGAGTGGAGTTCTTATTCCGGCATGTAGAGCCACGTGATATAAAATTCAATATTTATGCTGATCATGAACTCATTTTGGTTAGATTTGAAAACTTCAAAACGTAAAAAAAATTAAATGATGAATCAGGGTTTCTTTATTTATTACTAAACAGTAAGATTTCCCTTTTTACTTTTTCATTTGACTTACATTTGTTTTATAAAAAATCCATAAAATCTTTTTTTGCAATTGTACCTGAAGCTCTGTTTTCGGAAGTGTTTTTCAAAACGGAAAAACTGTTGGCTATTTTCTAGCTTAAACATCTTTTGATTTATTCGAGTTTTCGTAATGTTTGCTCCATTCTCCTCGCAACGATGAAACGAATGTGTTGTTCGTTTGCATTGTAATGACGTTAACGTACGGTACTTCTGAAAATATTGTGCTGTATTTGAAAGATTTAAATTACTTGAAAGATATTTAAATCTTTCAAGTAATTTAAATCTTTCAAGTAATTTAAATCTTTCAAGTAATTTAAATCTTTCAAATACAATTTAAATCTTTCAAATCTTTCAAATACAGTACAATATTTTCAGAAGTACCGTACGATAAATAGTTTTCTTTACGTGGAATTTAAGGTTTGTGGAGTGATTTTCCTACTTACGCACGTCTTTTGAATTACACGTTTTCAATTAAGAAGACATCGCCTATACAGTAAATTTCCGAGATTGTCCATTGTTTTCAAGTTTTTGTTCCATTTCATTTGCTGAATGGTGAGGAGACTGCAAAGAATCGCAATAGTTTCAAGATTAAGTTTTTTCTGTCTCCGTCCCTTGTTCACCTACGAAGAAGTTAAGTTTTTGCTTCGTGAATTTGTTTCATCAGTCTGAGAAAAATCGGGGTTTTCACGTCATGGTTCAAGAGATGAGACACATTAAAGTGATTCTGTATTATGCATATTTATATCATATTATGATTTTTTCCTCCACCCATTAAGAATCATTACGGTTCGACAGCAATCAACGATAGATTTTATGAACGCATTTGGAAATGTGGCTTTTAATGCCGATATGAGGCTTTATCCGCGAAGAAGCATTTATCGAAGTTGACTATTCGTGCCAACTTGAAACTGTATGGCTTACTTTGTTAAATGATGGGTGAAGTACCATAATATATTCTCAGCATTTTATTTTAGGAAATAGCAATTCGTGTTTGAATTGAATGTGTACACTTCATGCATTCTTACCCAAAGGTTTCTAATTATTAAAACCATTCAAAGCAATGAATGTTTGCCTTGACATCGAATTGTTCTTGGAAGAGCCTTTCTATTATTTACTCGAGTAATTAAATTCATGCATTTCTTCGCGTTTTTAAGCAACGTCAGGTTTCTGGTATCCCGGAAAAAGTTCATTGTTTTGGGCACGAAGGGTATTTCTTGCCTCAGCACACGCATTTGCATTCACCTGCTTTTCGGGGAACGCTTTACTTGCAAAATTTTTTTTCTTAAGAAATCGGTGTTGACGTTCATCAACTCGAAGAAGCCTTATGAAAAACTTGGTGAGACTTGGAAAAATATTTCCCGTTGAAATTCCGTGTGATGAAAGCTTCCGACACAAACTTGAATTTTATTTGCTGAATTAAAAAGTTCACTTCCTCGAAGAGTGTGAATTAGACGTAAGTGCAGGCACAAATAATTTATTTCGAAAACGAACGGGGAAAGCTTTTCAGAAGAAAGTGATATATTTTCACGAGATGCTTTATAAAATTGTTTGAATAAACTGTGGAATATCTGGGGATGAAGTTTCAGCACCGGTAGAAATTAAACAGTCGAAACGTCGATTATTCCAGCTTGAAATTTTTCATCTTCTCAAAGCTTCTCCCACATTTGTACAGGAGAGACAGGGAAAAGGTTGATGAACTTATCTTCATAAAATATATATATTTTTAGCTTGATTTTAGGCAGAGAGCATTAACTACTATTTGATTCACCCGTTTATTAAATTCGCCGAGTTTTTTTCTCTGGGTAAGCATAAATTATTGTGTGAGGGAGGAAGAAAAAGGACCCCCCCCCCCCCTGGAAAATTTCAGAATATTTTTCGAATTACTGAACTGGTGATGATGTAAGAATCCCTGGATTGCCTAGTATTTATTTGCGGAAGGAGTTGCTCTGAGGATAATTGTAAGTGTTCTTCACTTTCCCTGGCACTTTCTCGAGGAGAAGCAAATATTTGCACGCCAAAAAAAAAAAAAAAACGAGGCTGTCATTCGACAGTAAGAGTGAGAAACAAGTGCGTGAATGCGAGTCTCGGATTTTTCTTCTCACGCGTTCTTTTTTTTCGGTGTTTTGCGCCTTCAGAAGATGTGGTACGATTGCAACAGTCTCATTCTCTGGAAAGATAAGGTTTACCCCCTCCTCTCCTCTCCTCCACTATTTTTCCTTTTTTCGCTTGTGGTAAACTGGGGAGGGGAAGAATAAGAAGAAGAGGATCTTTGAGGAGGATCCACCATCGGATCCGCTGGTCATTTCGACGAACGCGGTGGACTGTAACAGATGCACGGCGACATGTTTGGCTCACGATGTCGTCCGCAAAGAAAGCAGCGGTTCTTTTCAGGGAATATGTTTCTGAGGGGCATTTCAAAAAGTTTCTCATCTTTTTCCCCCCTTGTTTTTTCTGTGTTAAAGTAAAAGTGCCGAAATTCACTGCAGTACATGTGTGTCTTGATCAATAGACTCATCGTCATTGGAACTAATCCTTTTTGTTGTTGGAAGTTGCTCTGAAGATGGGACAGTGCTTTCCACAAGAAGAAAAACATACTCAATAGATTTAATAGAAAGTTCAAGCCCATATAAGAAAAAAATCCCTTTTCAATGAACTTTTAATTTATTGGAAAATATTATTTTGTTGGAGAATTTTCTAGAGAATAATGACCTAGTCGAATAACTCTCTTCTGCAACGGAACAATTCTTTAATCGAAGTGTTATACATTTTAATTTCGAAATGCCGCTTTTCTGAAAGGTTATCGAAGGATTCTTCTGAAGATAGCTGCAATAGTTTGATGGGGTCTCGCATGATATACATTCCAATAGGAAGTATAAGTCCATTAACCGAAGCTTCACTGCCAGATTCTTGGGAATTATCCGTTTACTATAAAAAAATTACAAAATCCTTTCCTCTCATAAATCGCTCAGAAATGAAGAAAATCAATGTTTTTTAATTTTTTTAAATGACGACCGAAAATATGTAAAAAAAAAGTTTCTAAAAAAACGCATGTGAAATTGTAAATCAAGCGGACGTTGTTTTTGCGAGAGCAATTTGGATTTTTGAAGGGCAATCTTTCTTTCCAAGTTCAGGTTGTAGTCCACTATCCGAATCAGGGTCCATTGATGGAAGCGAAAACTTGTGGTAACCAGGAGAAATCCATTATCACAAGTACTAATTATCTTGGGTTATATTGTTCTGTCTCGTGATATTTTTGTGAGAAATAATGTACAGTATTATGATTATTTATTTGGATTATTTTAATTATTCGAAGCGATAAAGCTATTTTGTTGAATTTCATGCTTCATTCTGGCCCAAGTATTCTTACCATAAGAGTTGAACAGAATCTTCGATTCGGTCATAAAACCTGAATGTTTTATTTTGTGAATGCCACAAAATCAAATTCTCGACAGTTTTTTACTTAGAATTCTCCGCTGTTTCTTTTAATTTACTTGTGGTTATTGGATTTTTATGGACTCGAAATTGAAGAGCCTAAAAATCCTCGTATGCCCGTATATGAAGCTTCTGTTTCATTTCAATCCATGAAATGCTGTAGTTTGAATATTTCGTGTAAGTTTGTGTGTTACGTTCTTCATTTATTATTTATTGTTTTGACAATGATTCCATTTTTTTGATTTGCCTCGTTCCCCGTAAACGGAAACTAACTGCATTTCTGGATCGTTGTCATAGCGACCGTCAGTCGGAAAAGCGTTATTCGGGGGGTCGTATGAAAAATGCATTCGATCAAGTTTCGAGCAGCACCTTGAGCGTCTTCGCCGATCCGATCATTTTTCGCCATTATTTTCTCTCTGCACCGCAAAAACAAAAGCAAAAAGAAATCTCTGCAGTTTTTTTTTTCTTTTTTTTTTGCGCTGTTCATTCACGGACCCGTGAAAAGATCTTGGGACAATACCAGGTTCTCACGGTTCGTCCCCATTGGGGTGATGAGATCCCCAGGGTCGAGAAGATGAGATCTTCCTCTGCTAAGGAGTGTGTTTGCACTTGCTTGGATGGTCTTGAAGAAAAAAGATGAAACAGACAAAAAAAAGGCGACGATTGAGAGAAAAAGGACCTCTTACAAAGTACTGTAAACGGTATTGAATGATGGCTTCCGGGATCCAAATGGACCCGCTGCTTGTTTGTAGTTTCGAATGCGCTGATGGTTTCCCGAATCACTCTACGAAGTAAATTTCTTTTTTTTTCGAGGTAAATTAAACACCTCGAGGAAATTTTTTTTTTTTTTTTGCATTCAGAAGCAGCCTTCGAAGTCATAAAGCACATGTGCCTTACTTTCGCACAATGATGGGATGCACTTCCAACTTTTATTGCGAAAATTGGCATTTGCCCGACATTTATTGAAAGATTACGTTAATCTCTAGCTCTTCATTTGAGACTCGATTATGGGAAACACGAGTCTCATAAAACTCTTACTTCTTCTTATGGTGAGTGTTGTTTGAAAAAAATGAAAAAAAAAAAAATTCACGAAAAGCAGACCTGACGAAAGCGGTCTCGAAAATGATCTTGCAGCTGGTGATCATTACTTATTCGTTTTACGAGAACATTTGTTTGTGCGATGGCATGTTTGTGTGGCGTTGGGAAAATAATCATGTTGTTTTCGCATCATTGAAGTTTCTTGGAGAGAAAAGTACAAAACTGTGCTTGAAAACGTCTTCAGAAAGGAATGATTACCTGTTTTGAGCTCGTGAAAGTTTCAGTGCGTCGTGGACAAGTTTATTGGTCTTGTAGGTTTTCAAAGTTATGAAATTTCTCACTGCGCAGCAATTTTTTATTTTTTTTCACGCCTCATCGGATGACCTTGATGTTGAAAGTTTCAACGTACGGGCCGTGAAAACTGTTAAATAAAGCATTGGGGAAATATGAATGTTGAAAAAAAAGAATCAGTCCACTCCTTTTATGGTTCCGTCTGTTCATCGGATTTGACGGCACACCTTCGGACTGTAGCAACGAAGAGGGAAAATTTCCCGAGCTGCAAAATTTTCAATATGTTTCAGGAAATTAAGGTACTTTATACGAATTTATAAACTGAAACTGCAAAATCTCCAGTTATGAGATATCCTGAGCATTTGAAAATGTGATACGAATTGAGTATTACACGATTTTCATCTTCTCCAATTTTAGCGCACACTCCAGATTTCGGAACCCCTTCACTCGTATGTTTAAATTATTGGCAGCACCCGAGATTTTTCGTATGTAAATGGCGACGTTTGTGAAGTGCCAAAATAACAAAGTTTCAATGATGATTATCATATTATCCCGTGGATTTCTGGGATCGCACTTCAATCGCTTGCCTGTATGTACTGTATGATTCCAAGTACGGTATGTACAGTATTTAAATATGCTATTTACAATATTCATAAACATCCGGACATGCATTCGCGTGGGTGTGTTACTTTCTTGACGTCACTGCGAACATCGTGTGGGCAGCATTTCCACTGCATTGCAAGAAATTCTTGAGTTATGCAATTTACTTACTGACGGAAGATGCAAATGCATCGGCCTACGTAGTTGTTAGGAAAAGCCCAGTATTCAAAAGGGATCTGGGTTAGATTCCAAGGGTTTTCCATCTCATTCTGGATGTTGTTTTGACCAAAAATGTGAGGGATTCCGAGCTTTGTTTTGCAAAAAATGTATCTTGTCAAAGAAGTTGTGTGCGTATGTGGGGGGAATCATTCCATTGGTTCTATGGCTTTTTGAAAGACGATCAAACCGGAAATGAGGCGGTGAAGATGCCGCGTCGTTTATTTCCGGCGACGCGTGTTCCGAATTCCCGCATTCCTAGGACCTGCTCGAGGGAAGGACAGCAAATTGTATTTCTCTTCTACGAAGTGGATTTTCGGTCGATATTGGCAGGAATAATCCCTGAAATGCGTTTGCGATTTCCTCTCGACGATCAGTTGTTGATACGTTCGTCTAGTTTTGTTACTTATCCATGAGGTGCGGGACAAATTGAATTTATTGATTTTGTCATCGGAGGGGGAAGATGGAGGAGGATGGGAAAACCGATCAGGCTTGAATGTGAAGTTTGTTGTTGACATCTGGATGAATTTACTAGGTGCCCTCGAGTTTCGGGGCTTTTCTTGGTCAAGATGTGCCATCTAGTTTTTTGAAATTGTGTTTCAACCTCTTAGCTGCTGCGAGGATTGCAACCTTACCACATTAGCATTCTCCTTCTTGACTGACAGAATTTTGAATTCAATTAGCCTAACCTTTAACCTTGGAAATGAAGATGCTGACCGAAATTTGAGGTTTGATAAATGAGGTACATATTGAAATGTACCAATTCAAGGTTTTGTAAAATTATTTTATTTATGAAAAATAGCCACGAATAGTTTTTTCAGTGAATATAATAGTTTTTTGAGAATTAGCGTAATTTTGCATTTGTGATTAGAATAGTCATGTACGGTATTAGTTATTGTAATTGTGTTGTGTTAGTCATCAGAGTAGTTTTCTGTTGGTGAGAAGAATATTTTTTTCAGATTAGTTTTGCGTTAGTTTGGGGTAGTTCCTTGTTGCATCAAAATTTGTTAGATCAGAGTCAGTAGCATTTTAGATTAAATCGATCTGGGTTGATTTATCACTTGTTACAGTTTTAAAAATAATTTTGGAAAGTTTCGAGGCATTTTGCGATTATGTTATTCGAATTGAATATTGAAGCATGATAATGAGATGAAATATGTGACCCATTGTGATTTTAATGTTACAGTTTCTTTTTGTAGCTAAAGTTGATCATGCCATCACAAAAATGATGTCTAGCCTATTACTGCAGTACTTTAATAAGTTAGTTGCTGGTCCTTATTTCTGACTTCTTCCACCAGTTTCCGAGTCCTTGGATATCAAATGAAGTCTTGCATAACTTGAATATTCCGTTCATCGGGTAAGCGTTGCCCTGTTTTTGGGCCAGGTTCAAGGAAAAAATAACGACGGTTTCTCACAATTTACTTTTGAGAAAAAAACCAAATTGAAGCATTCGTCGATTGAAACAATTTTTTGGGGGGCTACATGTGGAGTGTAGCTATCGACGATGATTGTCGCGATGTCTCGCGGGAACTTGACTCGGCAAATCGAATTTGAAGCCGGAAACGCAGTCGAAGGGGGAATGGCTTTATGCCCCCCAACATTTTTTACCGGATGTACACCAAAGTCTGATGCGTTGTTGCGGCATTTCCGGCTGGACGGGGGAATTAAATTTGGGCCTCAGTAATAGGATTACATCCTCATTGTGCGGATGGGGAAGTGGAACTCGGCTTTTCGGCGTTGAATCTTTCGGTCTTTTCCCTGCTGCAGTAGAATCGCGTTACAAGGAAGTCTTTGGGTCCTGACAAAAATCTTCATCTTGCACTTTTTTTTAACGTTGTGAGCCCAAGTAAAAAATGAATTTATAACACGAATGAATACTGTACACGCATTGACTAACTTGTGCAGACTTTGAAAAGCCCTGAGGAGATGAAAATTGATAAATTTACCACCAGACGACGCCAAGAAAAGATGACAGGAAATCTTTCGGTGATTTAAATTGAAATATTCTGAGTGGAGCGAAGACTTACTGCGAAATTTTAAATGAAAAAATTATGTAATATGGAGGAATTTAGCCACTAATTCCTCTTATACTGAAATGGCCTACTGAAGATAAATTCATTTGAACGAAAATTGCATTCGCAGTCAGGACATTGCAAAAATACATTTACAACCGATTTTTTGAAAATGAGCTTCGTTGTTCTGAGATCAATAATTTTTTTTCCTGGGGGTTCTCATCGGATTTGAAATAAATTCAAAATCCGTTCAAATTTCGGATTCTTCCTTCTATCGGTTAATTAATTCTCGATGTTGACGACTGCTGAATTTTTTTGAAGTTATGTGATCATTATTGTGGGATTTTATTTTTCAGAATGTTTTGAAAGAGTTGGAGCAGAAGAAGCCGCAGCTGGAGGAACTGGTTTCAACCGCCGAGAGTTTGAAGTCCCATGCAAACCGGCAACAATTGCACGGAAAAGGTGAGCGAAATTGTTCTCTTGACTAGAAAAAAAAATTTTTTAAAGTGCTGCTGCGAATCACCGACTAATGTTCATGTCAGTTGAAAATGAAAAGGCTATCTCATCGCCACTGATTATTGTATGTTTAAAAATTTGTCTGCCGTTTTGCCGTGAAGCATGAGGGACAAATTAATTTGGGATTCAAATTCGTGCGACAGGAGTATTTCTTGATTTAAAAAAAGAGCCTTTTGCTAATTTTTTGGCAGATAGGCTTGTTAATCACGAAAGCGCTTCACAGAAAAAAAAATTTCTTGGTCCGTTTTTTCAAATTTTTCTTTTTTGGTAGCCTTCACTGGAAATTCCTGACGAGAAATGTTCAGGGCGCATATTCATCTCATATTTAAACATATTCTGCTTTTTTATTTGTGTTCGTGAATTGAAGGACGTGTGCCTTAGAAGAATTTTCGCCGGAGATCTATGATAAATGCTGACGAAAAATAAGCAAATTATGATGCATTTTTTGAAGCAATACTTCTGAAACCCACATTTTTTGCTGTCGCAGAAAAAGGGCGAAACCAGATTGGAAGATGATTTTAAAAAGAAAAGAAAAAGCCCCAAATATTCGTACATTCAAGTACAATGTTTAATATGAACATTTTATGGCAAATTAAGAAGCAGAAGAAATGATAAATTTAAATGTTGATCTGCCTGGAATAAAAAAATAAAAAGAAAAGAAAAAGCCCCAAATATTCGTACATTCAAGTACAATGTTTAATATGAACATTTTATGGCAAATTAAGAAGCAGAAGAAATGATAAATTTAAATGTTGATCTGCCTGGAATAAAAAATTTTCGGTGAATCGCTGCGCTGTTGAGGAATCCTTCGAATCGTTTCCGTTTCGTTGGTTTTCACCTGAATTTTTTCTTTCGCCAAAAAAATGACTGCGAGAAATGTGTATCACATTCTGCAAGACAATTTCAAATCCTTCCGATGCGCTGTTGAGGAATCCTTCGAATCGTTTCCGTTTCGTTGGTTTTCACCTGAATTTTTTCTTTCGCCAAAAAAATGACTGCGAGAAATGTGTATCACATTCTGCAAGACAATTTCAAATCCTTCCGCATGCGTTCAATTTGATATTCAAATCTTACGTCACTGATAAAAGGCTTCAAACGGGATTTGATTCAGGTACTTAATGCCGATTTACATGCGTCCGCCGTCGAAATTTCGTTCGTGTGGGGGAAATCTTCTGAAATGCGGGTCTTCGTAAGGGTTGAAGGGATCAGATCGAGAGGGATTTCTGAGATTCTCCTCTTCTTTTTTTTTGTGAGATGGAGAAAAGATGGATCACGGTTTTGTTCGATTCCGCATTTTCCCCTCGGGCGGAATGAAAAGCCTTCTCTGGACGGCATTTTTTGGCCTGCTCCATTTTATTCATGGTTTCCGGGAAGCATGACTAGATTCTGAATGCACACCTGATCATTTAACTTTTTTTTTGTGTGCATCCAACATGTTCAGAATATACTTTTTACTCATGCAAGGCATTGGCAGGAGTCTTGAGAATGAGACGGTAGATGTCCAAAACGGTAGATGTCCTTATGAGAAATGGAGCATTAAAAATGTGCCAACAATCGCAACATTTTCTATTCATCCAAGCTATTGTTTTCGAGTAATTGTTGAGTTCGGTATTTCAATTTTTGGAGCTTTTACAGGTTTCTCATGTGACCTAACCCACGAAAAAGTGTGGGGGCTTAATTAAAAGGTTTTTAAGGTTTTCATATAAAATTATTGCAGAAGCGTGAATTTGGAGACATTTCTGAATAATAACTATCACTTGTCCCTTTGTCAAGATTTTTTTTGTACACAGGTTAAAAGGCCCAGAGAACAGGGAACTTTTGCCCAAATTTTGAATTAAACAATGGGCTTACAAGTTAGATTCATATCTTGGATCGATTGAACAGTTTTTTTAGTTCTACAAATATTGATTACGAAATGAAAATTACATCTTGAAAGCTTCGTCGCATTTCGAGTCAAAATTGAATGACTGATTGGTTCGTGGCACACGAAAAATCTTGAAGTGAAGCATGACAGATCCCTCGAGCATTTCTTCATGAAGTCTTGAATGAACTAATTCAGTTGTATATTTTTAGCCAAAAATATCTCAAAGCCGCAGCGAAATGCTGTAGAATTTCGTGATGACGAATCTGGTTTTAACAATAATCGCTTGCAACGAAGTATATTTTTCAGGCCCCAGCTCAATAACCACAATGTTAAATGAGTTAATTTATGAATTTTTCATTACAACGAAGCTATTTCACTGATTCCTATGGTTTCAAATTTTACTGTTACCCAAAAAACCTCAACAGGATTCAGCCGAATATACAAAATCTTCCATCGTTTTTTCCAGGACGAATGAATTGTTCGTGTTATTTGACGTGAGAATCGTCGGCAGCCCGAGCATAAAAATTCATTAAGCGAGGCGAAAATTATCCGAGGAGCCATTGCACTTTTTTCCCTCCTTCATAAGGAAAAGATAAAAAAAGAGGGAATGAAGGGTTGCTTCTGTGAGAATTTCGGATGAAACCCTGTTGCCACTGAGTAATGATTCTCGAACCCGTGTCTTTTCCGCCCTGCGGCAATGTGGGGCTCTGGTGGCGGTGACGTGGGATGAGAGAAATTACGATTGATCTCATTCTCGCACCCGAGACCCAGATGCTGCTTTGGCGGCATTAATCTCGATTCTTCAACCCCCGGGTTCGACGGCATCTTTTCGTCTCTTGAAGTCATCTCTCTCTCTTCTTCTAGAAATTATCTTTTTGTTGTTGTTTCATTTTTGACGAAGTCTTTTGCGTGAATTAAGATTTTTTTCTTGCCAGACGGCGTCCGTCGGCGCGTCTGCGGTTTATTGGATTAATCCCTTGCTGCTGGAGATGAGCTTTGCTTCCAAAGCATCTCTTTTTGGTGCATGCCAGTCTGGTCTTATGTTTTGCTGCAAAACCCCGCAATATGTCGCGTCGTATTTCTCAGGAAACAGCCGAGATCCTTTTTGGCGCATCTTGACCTGACCGGGTTTCACGCGGAAATGTTTGCACAGTACAGTACAGTACTTACTTGGGAAGTTTGAGGTGACGCCGATGCGAGAGATTTTGTGATAAAATCGTTGACTTTGTTGTTTTGAGGGCGATGCGCGTGAAATGGTGTTTTTTAATGCCAAAACAGACGCAAAGGAAAGTCCCCACGAACCAATAATTTATGAGGGTGTCGTCGGAAAAAAAGGAAACTGCATTGGATTATTCAGAAGAAGCAACTTGGGATAAAATTGCAAGTATGCTACGGAAGAAAATAAATTTTTGTTGATTTTCGCTACGCTTTGAGTAATGGGAAGGTTGCCAGTGATTTATAAACGAAGACAGCAAAAGAAATTTGGTAAGCACAAGCTCTGCTGGCAACTTATTTTTACTCCAATGCCAACTTTAAATGAGGGAAGCTTCCACTTACTTGGGAAATCCAGAATAATTTGCAATTGTTCTTCACAAGAAATAAAATAAAACGGAACCAAATCTCTGCTTAATAGTTGGCATGCAAGGGTGAATGAACTTCGTTCTAAAAAAGAAACCCTTTTTTAAATCCCAAATTAAAGGGAAAACATGCAGCGAACCAAGGCTTGAACACCCATGAAATACCGCATCTACCCAAGTACCACGGGCGGTACAGGAAATACTGTAGTTTTTTTTTTGTGGATGATTTCAGCATGATTTCAAAATTAATGCTATACTTTATATACTGTACACTACATAGAACGGCAAATTTCTTCAAAATATTTTTTGATGATCACACAATGTTGCGGATGGGCAGCGTTTTTTTTTTATATCGTCGTACCCGTTATGTTGAGCCCATGAATCGTGGTCAGAAAGCATGTTGGCATTCACTGTTCTGCTGTGTTTTAGCACAGTGGGAATCAGTTTATTAGGCTAGTAAATCTCTCATTCTGGAACGCAGACGGAATCTGATTTTGTTGGGTCGGAAATGAAGATAGATTGTTACTCAGAATCGTTTCACCCTACAGCTTGCTATTTATGTTTTTGCTGTTTTGTGCCCATGCATGACTGAATTAATTTTTTATGCACTTCTAATTGATTTTTGTAATGGTCCGAAGAGAAAGTTGTGATTCCACAACGACTAAGAATTTCTTCGCATGTTGATCTCTGAATTTAGCAAAAACGTTCTTCAAATTTGAATTTGGTCATTTTCCAATCGTTGGGCATTTTTTTATTAAAATGTCGAGTCCTAAAATGTTCGTCTGAAGAAATGTCTCCGTGTCCTGATTATAGAATAATTACCGTATTAATTTTCAGATGCGCTCGTGATTTTCCTCCCCTCAAAATTTCTCGAATCATGCGAATTTTTATCGAGAATGTATCCGAGCTCAATATTCAAATGCCATTATTCGACAGAAATAAGGCTTTTAGATCCTCGATGATGTATTAGAAACTGCTTGACTTAAGATGAGCGAAATTTCAGTCGTCTTTTGAATTCGTGAATCAGTAATTCTGAAAAGAAAACTCATGTCAACTTTTCAAATGAACTGTATTTCTCTGACAACCATCCGGAGCATCCTTGGATAAAATATTGCGTTGGAAATACAGTAATGCAATTTTTACTTTCCTATGCTAAATATTTCGTCTAACGACTTTTCCACTTGTCCCTGGAAAGTTGAGAAAAAAGGGTTGCAAAGTTATTTTATCAGTTGGATGCCATTGGGATCGAATATTATTTCTCTTTTGGTGATGTCTGGGAATTTGTTTGATTTATGAAGATGTTTTCATGTTCTTGACACTTCAAATGCAATAAATATACTGTAATACAGTACTGTACAATGATTATCAAGCTTCACGGGGATTATACTTGTTTTGTGATGTTCGATAATTGAGAAATAACTCGAAGAACCTGACCTCCGGGAAATTCCCCTGCCTAAAGCTTTCGAATTTTTCGGAGAGATTCAATTGCGAAATAATCTTTCGCAATTTTTTTTTAGAAACTCGCTTTTAAGCTGGGCAAGTTTCTGCGCTCAGATTTAAATGCTTGTTAAAACCAGGACAAGAGCTAGAGCTCTGCAGAAATTGACACAAGCAGAAATTGGCTCGGAAAAGGGGCTTACGGATTGCAAGGTTATTCATTTATCACCTGAATATAATCTACACCTGTTGTTGAGTTGAGAGAGAGAGAAATCAAGCTGAAATCTCCGCATTTGCGAAAGCCCTCGTGACATTCAGGCCGAAATCCCTCGTTCTCTCTCTCTCTCTGACTTGTTGATGCCCTGAAGCCTCGCGTTGCATTCGCAGCCAGTGACCGGGATGACGTGTTTGTTTAGGAAAAAGAAGAAGAAGAAAAGAATGCAGTTTCGACACCGACACTGTCGACGTCTTTCTGTTGTTTGTGTAGGGGTATTTTTACAAAGAGAGAGGAGAAAAGCGGGTGAGATGAAAGATGGAGCAATATCCCGGAGGAAATCCGACGTCTGGTCGAGTGCGCCTGGCGGGTGTTGGTGGGAGAAATTTTCCTCGAGGGCTAATGCCTGTCTTCTTGCAACCCCCCCCCCCCCCCCCCCCCGCGGGGGGAAAAGTTT